TCACATGAATGCGAGTACCGCAGTACTGAACGTGACAGGGGGGAAAATGTTATCTGCACCACAAAGTAAAGTATCATTTCTGCTGCATGTATTTACCACCTCTCAACTACAAGTGTAAACTAGACCTGATAGTTTTTTGTTTTTTTGTTTAGTCTGCAGGCTGAATTAAAAAAACTGTTTTTCTGTGTTGTGTAGCATAGATGGATAAATGTAACATTTTTCCAGCACAAAAGTCAGTTGAATGATCAACTTATGTCAAATGCAGCATGGCCAACAGTGCCAACCACTAAGCAAAATTTGCAAAGTATATGCCCATCTCAGTGGGTGGCCCTGAGGCCTGCATTCTACCCAATGTCCCTCGATTAAAAAAAGAATCGGAGGAGCTGGGCAGAAAAATCAGCCAGAAATCAGATGCTGGTTGACAAAATACAAAGGCCATAGTGGGAGATTTGTCCATCTGCACTGTATAGGGTAGATGGAGGAATCCATTAGTTTATTAATTGAGCCTGCAGACTGAACGAAATTTAAAAAAAATAAAACAAACATCAGTATGTGGCCAGCTTTAAAGTGTCATTAAACCCCAGACTATGAAAAACTCTTATTACATGTTACTGCACATAACAGAGTGCGCATACTCACAAAGTCACTAGAGCATTTGTTTTTGTGTAGAGTGAAATATACCTGGTTAATCCTGCATTTAGCTGCCCTACCATCTTCTCTGTGTCCCCATTGCAAGCTGAGATTGAGTAGACCAGCTGAAGTCCTCTACTGAGTATGCTCATATCCTCTGCTTCTGCTTTACATATATATTGTACATTCACATCATTCCCTAACCCTCAAGGAGCGTACAATCCAAGGTCCCTAACTCACATTCATACATACACATACTAGGGCCATTTTAGACAGGAGCCAGTTAACCTACAAGCATGTCTTTGGAGGAAACCCATGCAGGCACAGGGAGAACATGCAAACGCCATGCAGGTAGTGCCATAGCTGGGATTTGAACCAACGACCCCAGTGCTGCCTGGCGGAAGTGCTAACCTCTTAGCCAATATGCTACCTTTGGACGTTGTACCTATTGTACCTCTCTCTAATAACAATAAAACAATTATTGGAAAATGAAAAAGGAGCCTTGGATGCAGATGCTGTCTGAACAAATGAAAGCTAGAGTCATCATGTTTGACTCTGCCAACACCATATTAATGCACAAAAAATACACATTTGATGTTCAATATCAATTTTATAGGGAGCTATAAAACTGTTGTTTTCTTATATTTAGAACTTAATTAGAATTTTTCTTCTGAAACTTTTTTCAATCATATAACCACCACAGCACCAATTAGGACTGTGCAGACAGACTCATACTGAGTCCCCGCCCATGGATCTTTTCTTGCAGATGCCAAAGAATAGGGAGAGATTATGTGAACACACAACAGCACTATAGGAATAAGGTACAACGAGGATTCAAAAAACAAAAAAATGGCATGATATAGATATATATATGATTTATGTGAATGAATCATGGCAATTAACATTTCTCTGTTTAGTTTCACTTTAAGGTTTTTGTGTTCTGTATGCTACTTCATATGGGGATCAAAGATGGGAATCAAAGTAATTTTCATTTTTTTTGCAACCAAAGCAGAATGCAATTATATAAATATAATTTTCTAATAATCAGGCAGAATTAAGAATTGTGCAAATTCATCTGGAGTTTTAAACAATATTCGTTAAAAGTAAATCTGTTTCACTAACCTGGTAAATACGAAGTCACCCCAGTTCACTCTAATGCAAGTTGTCATGCACTTTCTTGCATTCATACTTTCTAACTGTTCTCTTTCTAAAATTTGTCTTACAAGTTGTAACAAAGCAGTAGTATGTATGCATTCTGTGTTTACTTCTATGAAAACAATGCATTCTTTTTCATTTATTGAATTCTTTTTTTTTTTATACATGCTGCCAAACTTTGTTGGTTTGCTGGGCTTTTTGGTGATGCGTTTTTTTTTTTTTCACTATATACCTAACCCCCGGTTCACACCAAAGCGACCATAGAGACTTGCGACTTTGAGGTCCGACTATGCGGTGCAACTTCATTGTGACTTGCTGCCACTCAGTGGGGGTTATTTACTAAAACTGCATGGTGAAAAATCTGGTGCAGAGAAACCAGTTGGCTTCCAGGTTTTCTTGTTAAAGCTGAATTGAACAAGCTAAAGTCAGAAGCTGATTAGCTATCCTGCACAGCTGCACCAGATTCTGAGTGCACCAGTTTTAGTAAATCTCCCCCAGTGTGACTTCAGTAATGCACGTCAATGCAAGTCACAATGAAGTTGCACAAAAATAGTGCAGGAACCTTATTTTGGATTAGAACGGACCCGTTGAAAAACATGGGATGCTACTTCTCATGGGCCTTTTAAGTCGCAAGTTGCATGACAACTTGCATTAGAGTGAACTGGGGTGACTTCGTATTTACCAGGTTAGTGAAAACAGATTTACTTTTAACGAATATTGTTTAAAACTCCAGATGAATTTGCACAATTCTTAATTCTGCCTGATTATTAGAAATTATATTTATATAATTGCATTCTGCTTTGGTTGCAAAAAAATGAAAATTACTTTGATTCCCATCTTTGATCCCCATATGAAGTAGCATACAGAACACAAAAACCTTAAAGTGAAACTAAACAGAGAAATGTTAATTGCCATGATTCATTCACATAAATCATATATATATCTATATCATGCCATTTTTTTTTGTTTTTTGAATCCTCGTTGTACCTTATTCCTATAGTGCTGTTGTGTGTTCACATAATCTCTCCCTATTCTTTGGCATCTGCAAGAAAAGATCCATGGGCGGGGACTCAGTATGAGTCTGTCTGCACAGTCCTAATTGGTGCTGTGGTGGTTATATGATTGAAAAAAGTTTCAGAAGAAAAATTCTAATTAAGTTCTAAATATAAGAAAACAACAGTTTTATAGCTCCCTATAAATTGATTTTGAACATCAAATGTGTATTTTTTGTGCATTAATATGGTGTTGGCAGAGTCAAACATGATGACTCTAGCTTTCATTTGTTCAGACAGCATCTGCATCCAAGGCTCCTTTTTCATTTTCCAATAATTGTTTTATTGTTATTAGAGAGAGGTACAATAGGTACAACGTCCAAAGGTAGCATATTGGCTAAGAGGTTAGCACTTCCGCCAGGCAGCACTGGGGTCGTTGGTTCAAATCCCAGCTATGGCACTACCTGCATGGCGTTTGCATGTTCTCCCTGTGCCTGCATGGGTTTCCTCCAAAGACATGCTTGTAGGTTAACTGGCTCCTGTCTAAAATGGCCCTAGTATGTGTATGTATGAATGTGAGTTAGGGACCTTGGATTGTACGCTCCTTGAGGGTTAGGGAATGATGTGAATGTACAATATATATGTAAAGCAGAAGCAGAGGATATGAGCATACTCAGTAGAGGACTTCAGCTGGTCTACTCAATCTCAGCTTGCAATGGGGACACAGAGAAGATGGTAGGGCAGCTAAATGCAGGATTAACCAGGTATATTTCACTCTACACAAAAACAAATGCTCTAGTGACTTTGTGAGTATGCGCACTCTGTTATGTGCAGTAACATGTAATAAGAGTTTTTCATAGTCTGGGGTTTAATGACACTTTAAAGCTGGCCACATACTGATGTTTGTTTTATTTTTTTTAAATTTCGTTCAGTCTGCAGGCTCAATTAATAAACTAATGGATTCCTCCATCTACCCTATACAGTGCAGATGGACAAATCTCCCACTATGGCCTTTGTATTTTGTCAACCAGCATCTGATTTCTGGCTGATTTTTCTGCCCAGCTCCTCCGATTCTTTTTTTAATCGAGGGACATTGGGTAGAATGCAGGCCTCAGGGCCACCCACTGAGATGGGCATATACTTTGCAAATTTTGCTTAGTGGTTGGCACTGTTGGCCATGCTGCATTTGACATAAGTTGATCATTCAACTGACTTTTGTGCTGGAAAATGTTACATTTATCCATCTATGCTACACAACACAGAAAAAACAGTTTTTTTAATTCAGCCTGCAGACTAAACAAAAAAACAAAAAACTATCAGGTCTAGTTTACACTTGTAGTTGAGAGGTGGTAAATACATGCAGCAGAAATGATACTTTACTTTGTGGTGCAGATAACATTTTCCCCCCTGTCACGTTCAGTACTGCGGTACTCGCATTCATGTGAATGGAGCTGTGACGCAACCACGTGCTATACATTATACGTGGCATGGTGCTGTGGGCTTTTAGAGGTTGAAAAAGGCAATGAGGAAACAACATATCTCCTTCTGTAATGGGCCATATGAAAAGCGATCAATTGTGGACTACTGCTTACAGGGCAAATGTCATGTATGGCCAGCTTTCCTGTGTGCTATTTACTAATCTATTGTTCCATTACTTTTACATTCACTAAAACTTTTTTCTGGTTTGCTGGGTTATGCTCAATAAACATTCTCATACCAAGCGCATCCAGTGACGCCTTGTGATCAAAAGCAGGTATTGTCCGCATAGCAGAAATTACTTCTTGTAGGCATTTTGTATAACTGCCAACCAGTCTCTAATTGAAATTGCTGACCACTCCTCCATGTTAAATTCCTTCAGTTGCAAGATGTTTGTGGGTTTGCTTGCATAACCTATTTCAAAATGGGAATCAAATCCGAGCTTTGACAAGGGCAGTCCATAACCCTCTAATTTTTTTCGTTTTAAGCAATTTCTTGGTGGATTTGCTAGTGTGCCTTGAATCATTCTTGCGTGAGAGACCTTTTTCTGGTTCATCCTCAAAATTTAGACAGATGACCTCACATTCTCATCAAACTCTTTTATGCAGAATGTATAGTTGTTACAAAAACAACCCCAAGTCTTCTGCACATTTTTTCAAAATGTCCTATGTGGACAATGGCAAACTGTAATCTTGCTCCAATGTTCATTTTGGACAGCAAAGACCTTTACTTAAAACAACTCACATGCAGGGGTGGACCGACCATTTGGAAACTCGGGCACTGCCCGAGGGCCCGGGGTCAGTAGGGGGCCCCATGAGATGCCCCTGGTACCTTTTTCATAGGCTTTTTTGAGTTTGGGCAAGGACACAGGGGCCCCATGATCCCCTATTGCCCGGGGGCCCCATGAGTTGTCAGTCCGCCCCTGCTCACATGCATGTTAAATTGGTACGATCTTTTTTTGATTGTAGACGCATGCATTTTGAATCCAACTTTTGCAAGAGTTACCTGAACAACCTGCAAAAAAATGTTGGGGTTCTTAGAGCAGTCAACTCTTGGGCTAAATTTGCTGAGCTGGTCACTTCTGGACAAATGAACAGTAATTTGAAATCTATGCCACTTGTGGACAATGTTCCTTACAGTGGAAGTATTGATTTCTAATCATTTGGTGATTTGTCTAAATATGTTCGCAGCTCCCCATACATGCTTGCAAAGTGTCCAGTTGAAAAGCATTGAGACAATAAAGTATGTATAGAGTAGCGACAACTGGATCACTTCTCTTCCATTTGTCTTAGTCTTCTCATCCTTCTCAACAAAATCGTTAGGATTGTATCATGAATCCAAGTAATAACAGGATCTATGCTGGATGCACTCAGGAAAGACAGCTAGCACACCTCTCAGTTTGTATTATTTTTGGCACCTTTTTCATTTACATTTTTTGTAGAAGAAATAATGCATTGTGTGCATTTGGGATGTAGGGCATTTAAAGGAATGTGCAACACTTGTTAAGGAAGTGGTTTAAGCTTAGATTTCCTGCCGGCAGTCCTGGCGTTATGAGGAGCTTTTTCATACGCCTATCTGCATCAAGTCTTAATATGATGCAATGCCAAACCATAACCTTTCCTCTACTCCAAAGTTGTTATGAGGTTGTGGGCGGAACCAACTCGCCCTGCACACAAAGGTATGTCTTCTCATGCATGTGCTCATTAATGCCTGGGACCAGCAGGACCACATTCATGGGAACTCAACATTAATTAAGGCGGCACGCAGTACTCAAGTGAGCCATATACCTGGTGAAGTTTACCATACTTGAGGCTCCATACTGCAAATCACTCTATCCCATAATACCGCACACCTTGCGTTCTGGAATGTAGAAGGGAAACTTGTGTCCCATTCCAACAGTCCAAATTTTCTATCAACACACTCCCAGTGATAGAATACAGGTCCCACTGTTGAAAAAGCACAGACCTCTTGAGTGATCAACTTTCTACTGTAACTCCTTCCATACCTACGGCAGGTCCATAAGGTCTCTGCCATACAGGTTTGGTCCTGGTTACTGGGGCACTGACTAATAGGGAGGGAATTGGAAAACCCTTCACCCCTGCCGATACTGTCCTTCCACTATCTGGCTGCCATATCGTTCCCTTAATGTTGGTTACTCTTGGTAATTACATGTCTTCCTGTCTTGTGTGTGTAACAGGCCCTGTTCTTTTGAATATGCTGTGTACCACCATACATGCCTTTTTATAGTAACTTCAGACCAGGCCAGAAACGGCTAATAAACTTTTTTTTTTACCTTTTTATATTCTACAAGGGTTCCAAAAACAACACCTGGAAGCTTAGTATACACAGGTGTAGCTGTCCAGAACAAAAGAAAATTACAAAACTATAACTAACCTAAAAAGGTGTGAGTGTGTGTTTTACTCTTGTCCAGTCAGTGGTACCTAGTCAAAATATATAGCATTAGGCCCCACTATAAACATGGTACAATTTAGGTAAACAAAGATGCGCTACCCTGGTCCTAACCCAGTCACATCAAAATGTTAAGATTAGGCACTGGAGGTATCCTCCAGCCATTTGGCCTATATTCTGTCAAAGTGCGAGGGCAACCTCTATTTGCGCAGGTGGTTTTGTAGAGTGGCAATTGGGAGTTTGACAGCTGTTTTCAGGATCCAAGTGTGGGCGCCATGGGCTTTCTCCAACAGAGTATAAGTACCTTCCTGGCATAAAACAGCAGTAGTCCTAATATTGTCTTATCTGTGGTTGTGGGCACAACACCCTCAATGAGGCCAAGAAGGCAGATTCTTGGAGACAGGGTGATGGAGACCTGCACAAGTGTGCCAATGGTACTGGCCACAGATTCCCAGAACAGATCAATCACTGGGCATGTCCAGAAGATGTGGGAAAAATCACCATGAACCCAATCACAGCACCAGCATGTTGCAGAAACATTGGGGTCCAGATGGTGTACTCTGTGTGGCATGAAGTAGGCCCTATGGTGGATCTTGAACTGTATGAGCTGGTTCCTCAGTGAGAATAATTTTTTTGAAGGGAGCAACTCACATGTCTGTCCAGTCCTCATCATTTATATCTGGGATATCCAATAACCTTTTTTGTCTAAGGCTAAGTGAGTCAGGTAGTGCCATTGTTACAAGATGTGAGTAAAGCATGGAAGCAGATTTTTAAAGGGGATCAGAACAAAGAAGGTCCTCCAGATCTGAACATTGCAGCTGAATAGGCCTATAGGAAAATTGTCTGCTGAAGGTGTGTGCAAGCTGAATATGTCTAAACAGGTAATTTGAAAGGACACTTTAGGCAGATCGCTGGGAGGTAAAGGACATCATTGTCTCATTATCTACTATATGAGTGATAGACCTGAATTTATGCTTTGCCCAGATTTGTTGGAACAGGAAAAACATAAAAGTGGTGTAAAGAAGGGTTATTCCAGAGGGGTGTATTAGGGGATAACGTTGAAGGGTTGCGGATTTCTAATCGCCTCAAGTCCCAGGCCTTAATTGTTGTTACCAGTGGGTACAGAGCTTTAAGGCCAAGAAAAATTATGCATTTTAGGGCCTCTAGGGAACCAAAAACCGCAATCACTAGCATTAGTAGTGTTGGGTTGGAGCCACCAGTGAGCTTTAACCAGTTGCGTGGCTAAATAGTATTTATGACAGTCTGGCAGAGCCAACCCCTCCTGCAGAGCTTGGCGCATTAAAGTAGTCAGTTTGTAACCTGGAGTTTGTGGGCCCCAAAAAAAGGAGAATAATCTATTTAGTTCAACAAATAAACAAATGGGGATCCATTGAGGGGAGTGGCAAAAGAGATACGTAACTTTGAGGAGTAATTTTATTTTGACAAAATTTATGCGGCCCAATAGAGACAACGGCAGGTTGCCTCACAACTTCAGCTCAGCCTTGATTTCTTGTGTAACAGGAAGTAGATTTAAGGAAACATAATCAGAAGCAGGTAGTAACCCATTATAGTGGGAGATCCCTTGGCGCCTGTACCAGGGCACCATTCTCAATAGGGAACACTATTGATTTTATGGCAGTTGACCCAAAGGCCAGTAACAACAGAAACGGTATTAAGGATCCGGAAGGGAGAGATCCGCATCATGCAGAAATAGTAACATGTCGTCAGCATATAGGGCCAACCATTCCTCCACCCACCCCACCCACAGCCCCCGAATCTCAGGAGGTACCTGAAGGGCCTCCGTGATAGACTTGATCACCAAGGCTAAGAAGGTCGGGGAAAGAGGGCAACCCTGCCTGGTACCATGGGACAACCAAAAGGAGCTGAAAGATTACCCCCCAGCTTGATTGAAGTTGAAGGGTGAGAAATACAAAACCTGTAACCAGTTAATGAAACAAGTAGGCAGCTTCATTCTACGTAACACTTCCCATTTGTATGGCCAATTCCCCATGATCAAACGCCTTTTCAATATCTAACAAGGGTATCACCCTGGTCCCAGTATGGAGATGTTGTACATGATTATTTGTGAAAATCTGCGGATATTAATGTCCGTGGATCTACTGGGCATAAAGCCTGTCTGATCTGAGTCTAGGGAGCTAGTAACCCTGATGAGCATGGTATATAGCAGTTTGGTTAGGATCACAATTTAGAAGGGCAATGGGCCTATAGGAGGCACACAATGTGGGGTCCTTCAGGCATTTATGAATTAACGTAATATGCGCCAATTGCATAGATGGAAGGAGAAACATGGCTTCTAGGTATTGAGAATGCAGAGATGCAAGCTGTGGGGATATGAGGTCACTGTGAGCCTTATAAAAATCCACAGAGATACCATCAGGACCAGGAGCCTTCCCAGAAGGGAAGGACTTGATAACAGTGTACACCTCTTCAATGGTAAAGGGGCACACCAGGCTCTCTTTCCCATTCCAACAACCAACCCAGGGCCAAGGGATCTAATAAATCCATAAGATGTGAGATGTCAAAATCAGAGGGTAGGGAAGAGGTATATAACTGCTGGTAATACTTAATCTCCTCTAGGATCTCCTCAATAGAGGAGACCATGGCGCCCCCTGACATGTGTCTTTCAGAAATGGGTGAGAGGGGTCTGTCATTTTGTGCAAGCATTGATAGAAACCTACTGTTCCTATCCCCCTATTCAAAGAATACCTGCTTACTATCTTTAAAATCTAGCCTTGTGGCCTCCACCATATGGAGTTGTAGAACAAAATTTCCTGGGTTTTGGAGACTGTAAAAGATTTAGCCTTGTTCTCCACGTCCCACTGCAGAGCTGAGACCTCAGAGATTTGCTCCTTACATATGACAGCTATGAGAGAGACATATTGTCCTCTAACACATGGCTTAAATGCATCTCCAACCAGACCGGGGGGCTGATCCCTCATTGGCCTGCCAATAGGCTTGAATAGCAGTAGGAACCCCGGCTGTGGCCTTAGGGTGTGTTATCTATTATGGTCCCAAACTCCACAAGGACGCATTATGTGTCTCCAGGGATCTAATAGTTCTGGTCAAGGGAGAATGATCTGATAGGCCACTAAGCACTCGGCTGTTAAAACATCGGCCAGCAGAGAGGGACTCACAAATGCAAGGTCTATATAGGACGCTGTCTTTTGAGATACGGAATAGCAGGGGTAGGTTCTGGTAAAGGGGTGTTTCCACCTCCAAATTTCAGTGAGGGCTGCAGTCTGCACCCAAACTTCTAGCCCCCCTGTGGAAAATCGTGAGGTAGAGGGCCTGTCTAGTTCTGGGATAAGATAGCATTAAAGTTTCCCATGATTAAACATTTTGCGGGGCAAAATGAGGAAACCTTATCCAATATAGTATAGAGCATTACATCAGAGAAAGGGGTGGCACATACCTAAATACTATAACATATTTACAACCCCACATACTAAGCACCAGTAGAACATACCGGTATTTACCCATAGGCTCAGTGTGGACAGCATCCACTA